CTAAGCAACTTTAAGATGGGAACGCCCACTAGCGTTTCAACAGCCTCACAGAACTACAATGTCACTACTAGTGTGAATGAGGCATTATCCAAATTTATTCATAAATGTATTTGTTTTATTTAGGATACTTTATTAAATACAGTTTTTACTTACAAGATTAAAGCACTCCAGAATCGGAAAAAATGATTAGCTGTAGGCTATAGAGCAGTTATCTGAAATGTTGCCATACATTGGCATCCAAATGCAAGTCTTTGCACGTAATTAGAGTTTCCTCCTGAAGAAAATTGTAATAAGAAAAATGCCAAGAGGCTAAATGCATTACAATACTGATTTCAAAAGCCAAATTCAGTAAACGCATTACTGATATAGTATACAACCATGCAAATGTGGTTCAGAACACAAAGGAGTCGCATTAAATAAAGTGTTAAGCATTTCACACAAAGAAACACTGATCTAAGCAAAATGCAATCAGGCATCTCTAGCTCTGCCTCTTTCCCCATTTTTGGTTACTGCTCTTCAGAAACCCATGGTAATGCCACGGACACTACATCCATTTTTTTTTACAGTCTATGGAAATAACTGAAGTCATCCTGGATTATGATATTAAACTTTAATGCATTCAAAACCAGCCTGGAACTACTTTAGCATTCAACAGCCAATGTCAAATTCAACCAATGTCAGGGCTCGAAAATAACCTTTTTTTTCTTGTTCCTAACTTTAAAGGGTCATGACACCCCCCCCACTTTCGGTTCAGGTCCACCTCAGAAATTTTTCAAAAGATGCATCATAGTGGGGGCGTGGAACTCTGCAAGCAAAAGGCAGGAGTGGGCGTGGCCAGCAGAGCAGGGGAGAAGGAGGGGAGCGAGCAACTGTCAGTCGGTATACAAAATGAGACACAAATCATGCGGAGACCAATGATTTTATAGTTTACAAAATTAAAATAAAAAGAAATAAACAGTAATTTAATGCCCTGCAACATTTTGTTATACACATAACCACAATTTATATCATTATAAAGATAATAGTGTTCATATAAACTCTAAATCAGGACTTTTCTCTCAATCCTCGGGTCTGAATTCAGACTCTGCCCTCTCTCAGCCCTGTCTATTTTAACCATTAGCCCTGCTGGTAATCTGGAGGATTTAGGGGAACACAGCAGCACAGCGATGTGTCTAAATGTGAACGAACTCCTGATAAAAGACAACGCCTGTCATTCTCCAATTCTCGTACTGCTCTCCCGACAAAAATGCTTGCTGCACACACAACTTTGCTGTATTGGCCCTGACAGTATCGCAGGGAAAAACATGCAACAAACCCCATGGATCATTGAAACAAACACATACAACCCTTCATGAACGACTAAATACTGTGTGCCGTGGGTCAGAGGGTGCTTCTCACCCAGTCATTAACGTAGGATTTCACAGCTGAGCTTGGCACTGGCAGCCAGGTCTGCTTTGTCTTCGGAAAGCACATGCTCTCATGAATATTTAGGAAGAAGGGTCTTCTCATAGGATAAGAAAACTATGTATAATAAAGAGAATCTGACGCGTCATCTGTGCACTTGCAGTTCTGCGCTACGTTGTATTTTGATCCCGCCCCAAAATCATTTTAAACCCGGAAGAAGAAAATAGCTAACAAAATCTGAAAATTACCCAGTTTTCCCCACAATTAAAACTAATAGGTGCTAACATTTCCCAAACTGATGCTCAACACCGTGAACCAGACAAAATTTTGTCGCACCCACCAATTATGAGCACCTTTGCTAAGTTTTATGTAATCACATGAATGCATTGACATGAATGAATCTGTTAACGATAACTGTGCAGTGTTCCAACGGGTGGTGTCTGATATTGCACAGATGCTTTTGACAAATACCTTATTATTTGATTATCATTAATTTTAAAAGCAATATCGGTCTTTTCATTAACTGCAATATTAGTTTAATCTTAGTCAGGGCAAGCCCTTTTGTGATGGTGTACGTGGTGTTAACTTTTACTTAAACCTGCAAGGCTGAAAGCATCTGGTGATTAAATTAAGGATTAAACAGAACATCTCATGCTTAAAATGTGTAGATGAGGCAAACAGTTACCTGAAAATTCCGTCTCACAGACTTTACAGTGAATGCTTTAGTTATTTTCAAAGCGGACTTGAAGCCAATGGAAGTCTTTCATCCACTCTTCGACAAATGTAGATTGTAAATTAACATTCACCACAATCAGTAATCAGATGTGCCATTTTTTGTAGCTTTAAGTGATTTCTAAAACAAAATCTGACAGTGTTGTCAATCTTATTTTCAGCGCTTTATATTTTCGCGGTTGTAGCTCTCCTGTCATCTGAAGGGAGAAGGCGTTGAGTGTGTGATTGAGAGCTGATTTTAACTAATCCATTCGCGTTCAGTTCTAGCGCAGTGGGCCAATAAAAGAGAGCGAAGGCAGGGCAAGCATTGCGGACTTTGTTTACTGCAGCAATTTGACATGGCAACAGTTTTAAACTGTTCCTGAGTGCTGCGTTTCAAGTGCAAAGATGCATTCCTTGTGAATGTGACCTAAATCCGCGCATGCGGTGAACATTTTGCAGTGAAAACCGATCGCACGCAACAATTTTATGCACTCGGTACAAATACTCCCAAATATATTTTGAGGTTGCATAGATAAAATTTCGGCCGCATATGCGACTAAAACAGTCGCAATTTCGAGCCCTGTATACATTACATATTACAAAGTCAGCTTCTTGTATTAGAATTTCAATGGAGACAATTTTGGACAAGTCTGCTATGGAAATATAAAATTTTACTTTACCCAGATCAGCTGTCTTTATTAATATTTATACACAGGTTTTATGTTTGTCTCTTCTATTATTAAAGTTCTTAAAGTTTCATTATTGCTATTATTGAGGTAAAAGTGTTTTTTATGTGTTCCTTAACATGCATGCCTGCAATACTATGAACCAAACCATGGCTGATTGTGTGTCGTTACCCACCTAAAAATATTTTTGCTTCTGTTTTGACAGTTGTTCACCCAAACATTTTTTTTTTCATTTGCTGTGATGCACTTTGCTGTGATGAAATCAGTGTTATTCCACTATTCCATTATATATATATATATATATATATATATATATATATATATATATATATATATATATATATATATATATATATATATATATATATATTAAGGGATTGTTCACCAAAAAAGTACATTTCCAGTTAATTTACTCACCTTCTGATCATTTAAGATGTAGGTGACTTTTTCAGTAGAACAGTAAAGAAGATCCATTTTACATGAAACCTTTGACCTCCATATAATGGAGTCTAGTGGGTGACATAGGTTTAAAATTCAAAAAACATATTCAAAACGAATCAGAATTACTACAAGCAGCTCCTGATGATGTACTGAGGTCTCATGAAGTGAAATGATTACTCTGTGCTTTTCTGTAGTTTAAACATTATGTAGCCTGAACACGCTGCAACTTTTTGCTGGTTAATAATATAATAATCCAAATAACTATTTTTTACTTTAAATTCAGATGAAATGTAATTATTTACAGAATAAAAAAACTTAAATTAACTTACACTCAAACATATGAATAGGACTTGAGCAATCATTTCATTTCATATTAAGACCTCAGTACAGGGACCATTGGTAATAATTATTTGTTTTAAACATGTTTTTGAATCTCAAATTGATGGCACCCACAAACTTCCAACAGCTTCAGCTAAAAACTTCTTTACTGTTCTACTGAACAAAAAAAGTCACCTACATATTGGACAGACTGAGGGCAGGGCTCAACAATTAGGACTGCCCGATAGCCCGGGGCCAGCGTGTGAGATGCTCGGGACAGTAGACAGGATTGTTACTGGCCCGATCATGCCACTGATGCGCTGTCACTAAAGTTCAATTTGCCTGAGACTATTTGTCAATTGCATGCAAAAACAGTCAGAATCGAGAAAAAGTTTGAGTTTTTAAGCCTTCAAATGCTACCTTCTCAGTTCCTCTTATCTCATTGGATGTTGTAAGCATTTTATTTTTTTCCGTAACAACCAGTACAGCAAAGAGACAGCAACATGGCGGCAACAACAAGTAATGATGCTAAAGGAAATCATTTGTTTCTAACGTCTTGGAAGCTGAAATTCACGAGGGTACACTACACCATGACTAAAAAAATGAAGTAATGTTTTTTACAGTTTGCTGTCAGTTTGGCATGTCAGCCATCTTTTGTTTTGCAATAAAATACCTGCACAATTTGCTACTTTTGTTTGCAAAACACTTTGAATTTTCCGTATAACACATTTATTAACATTTTATAAATATTTAAATTCTAGATTTACAAAAGTTTTTTGACAATTTTTTTTCTATTTTTTTACTTGTGGCTAAGAAATAGCTATTAACTTTTTTCTTTTTTTTTTTTTTTTTTTTTGCTAGGGCCAATGAAAATATTGGCTGGGCAAGTAAAAATCTGAACCAGTGGTCCGATTAGGCCTGTAGAAAAAAAATCCTTAGTGTTGAACCCTGTGTGGGTAAGAAAATTAACAGAAAAATGTCCCTTTAACTCTTCTGAAGTTAAAATATTGGTATTGTGTTGTGTAAAAATGAACATAAACCTGTCTGAACCATAGCACCTTTTTGTTGTTTTATGCGATTAAAAAAAAGATCAAAATGAGTTAAAGTTGAACACATGACTTTCATTTTTGTACACCCATAGAACATGAGCATCTTTCCCATAGATGTATATAGTCGATTGGAGCATATAAACAACAATTTTGCCCAAAAAAACTGCAGTAAAATCTTGACAGCATTTTCCTTCTTGCATTTAATACTTAGAATATTTTGTTTATAATGGTAGTTTGGTCAGATAGTTGGAGAAAAACACAAAAAAAAGATTACATTTTTTTTTAGCTTTATCACCCAAGCCCACCACCTTTTTTATATTCAGGAGTGTACATCTACATATATTTCCCCAAACACTCATGAATATTTTAAGGTTTTAGAAAAGCCTACCCCTTGTTTGACAGACTGGGAAAAGTCCTTGGCCAGTGTGTCAAAGAAAATGACGTTGATTGATGTATGTTCAGTGGTACTCTGAAGGGGGTCCTCCTCTGAGAAAGACAGAAAGCAAACAGCAAGGACAGAGTGAGTCTGGGTGTAATTCAGCTTTCATTTTAAGACTCAAAATCTGCAGGGCTGAGCGCTAAAATTAATCAAAATGAGTAAGTCTAAAGCATGCTTTGAAGAAGCCACTTCAATCTATCAAATTGGCCCCATATTGAGCTTCTTTTCTCCAGATACATTAAAACAGTTACTTAAAATCTTAATGGAGCAAAGCCATGCAGTCATGATGACAGATTTTTCAACACAAATTTGCTAAAGCCCAAAGCACCACAGATCCTTTAAACAGGATGAGAGGTGTGAGTGGCAAACAGATTGCGTGTCACTATTGACAAAAAAAGATCAGCTTGATAAGATGCAGGGTTGTTCATGATCTTTGTCTTTGAATTTACATTCAAATGGGGAAACTCACCTCTGATCTCAGCTCTAAGCATTTCCAAGCCATCTCTCTGTGCACAGGATATCACAGGACCTTTGCGAAGCACTCTAGCCTATGCAGAGGCAATGACTCATATAAGCACTTACACCTATAACTGAAAACCTGTAGTAACAAAGGGCTATGTTCCTACATGCTCAACAAATAGCTTTAAAGTAATTTTTTTATTAATTTGTTTATTTTTTGTTAAAGAGCATCTATCATGCCTTTCTTTTTGAAGATGTAAAATAAGTATCTGATGTCCCTAGAGTGTGTATGTGAATTTTCAGCTCAAAATACCCCACAAAATGTGTTTCTCTTTGCTCTTTTTAGGTTTTGATGTTAATTGTGCCATGTTGTTGACTGTAGCTTTGAATTGAAATGAGATTCCTCTTTTTAATAGAAGGTGGACCACTAGGGCCTATGTGTTAGAATAGTGGCAGACAAGACTATCATTACCTCTGTGCAAAACTGAAACCTTCAAAATAAGTGGCTCAAAAGGACTATGGTGTAGAGCTGAAGATCTTAATTTCTATCATTTTAGATGGGGTCGAGTCGGGGTCGGCCTTCAGCTCCAACTTGTGCGGCAAATAAATGGTCATTTGATGCACTTCGATTGGCGCGAGAAAGTAATCAAATCGTTTGTTACAATATCAAAACCCATCACTACAAAAGTGAAACAATTGACAACGGAGAAGTCAAAAAGAGCAAATTTTGCCAAGTGGGACAGGGAAAATGACAATGTCACTCGCACTATTAAAAATAACTGTTATGGAAAACAAGGTTATAATAGTTTTGGATTTTTGATTAGTTTATTTTCTATTTCGTTTTGACTTTTTGAGTTTTAATTAGTTTTAGATGTAGATTTCTTAGTTTTTATTAGTTTCTATATTTTAAAAATGTCTTAGTTTTAGTTTAGTTAATATTAGTTTCAGTATTAGTTTCAGTTTTTTTTCCTAAATGAGGATTTTTGTTAGGTGCAAGATTCAAAATCAACAGGATAAATCATTCATTCATTCATTCATTCATTCGCCACAGCAGAATGAACCGCCAACTTATCCAGCAAGTTTTCATGCAGCAGATGCCCTTCCAGCCCCAACCCTCTGGGATTTTCCATCTCTGGGAAACATCCACACACACATTCACACACACACACCCATGCACTACGGACAATTTAGCCTACCCAGTTCACTTGTACCGCATGTCTTTGGACTGTGGGGGATACCAGAACACCCGGAGGAAACCCACCGCGGACACAGAGAGAACATGCAAACTCCACACAAAAAATGCCAACTGAGCCGAGGATCGAACCAGCGACCCAGTGACCTTCTTGTTGTGAGGCGACAGCACTACCTACTGCGCCACTGCTTTGCCCTCAACAGGATAAATATTGTATAATAAAAACTCAGTCATACATTTTTTGAAAACATGAACACTATTATCTACCATAACCATCTACCCATCCTCAAATTCAAATACAACAGCCCACAAGACTGCAGTCTTAGGTACAATATGTGTTCAAGGCTGCTTCTGAGGTTAGGCAGAGTAGTGATGGGCAGGGCCGGATTTACCAATGGGCAATATGGGCACAGGTCCAGGGGCCAGTCCGAACTTAGATTTTGCCTACTCTTCATCACGAGGAAGACAAGTAGGAATCATTAAAATTTTAACCTCCCAGGTAGGAATCCCATTAATATAATTAACCTCCCAATATGTCACTGTCACTTTATCACAATTATCATGTTTACAAGTTCTTTTTGCACTATACTGTTTACAAGTTCTTTTTGCACTATACTGTTTTTTTTATCTGCACAACTCTGGTTTACTCTGCACTCATTGCTATATGCCCTTAATGTCACTGTATTGTTTACAATTTTTATTACATATGTATATATATTTTTTTAGACCACATTTATGTGCAATGTATATACTGTCAATTTTCTTTCTTTCTTTTTTTTTTTTCTTAAACTCTACTATTTTTTATACATATATATTTTATATTAATGTTAAGCACCTTGGGTCTGAGAGCAACGCAATTTCGATTCTCTGTATGTCTTGTACATGTGGCTGAATTGACAATAAAGCTGACTTTGACTTTGACTTAATAAGTGTGTGTATTATGGAGGACTTGAATTACTAGAACTGGATTGGAGAGGTGTTATCCAAATCATGTGCAATATAAGTTTTTAGAAGTTATACATTAAAAAATATCCTTAAATATAAATTTTAGTACTGCTTCAGTGAAGTTGAACAATTATATTAAAATCCATTAATTTCCCCTATAGTTGTATTAGTATTTTTTTTTCAAAGTGTTCTTTAAATGCTTTAAAAATAAGTTAAATCTTTGTAGACTAGAAATGTATGTACTATATATCATTACTTTTAAAAATGTGGGCAATACATTATAAATTAATTTTATTTAACAAATATTATATTAATATTATTTTTAATTCAACGATGGAGTGCGGCTAAAGGGAGCCTTTAAGACATTGTGCCCAGGGGCCTCTAAATTATTAATCCAGTCCTGATGATGGGAAGTTCAGATTTCTAACGTGAATGTTAGGACTCAACATTATGTAGTCAGCAACAGTAATTTCAGTCAGTTAAAACATCAACATGATCTGAATAATGTCTTACAGTAAAGTTTTGCAACCCAACTGAATCATGATTTACTTATTTAAATTCCATTACGATTGACTGTTATGAAATAAACTTGCGTTTTTCTCCAGATCCTCTCATTTAAGCCCTTGGTTTACCCGCGCTGCTGTTGTTCCAAGTTCAGTTCAGTCAAACAGCGGGCTGTACTGTTTTTGTTTGGTTCACTGAATCACGCATGCGCAGTAGTATCGGTTCACCACTTCTCAATGTAACGTTGCTGTTTTAATAACTGAATGAGAGTATATATTGGATTATTTAGAGTCAGAGGGGGGCATTAGGCTTGTTATAAAGTAAGTAGTTGGTGGATAAGTGCTTACTGGAGATGCGAATCGTATCAAATGATTCAGTCCGATTTGGTGAACAAGTTCAACCAGTTCACTTCTTAGAAGATTGGGTTAAAAAGATTTGATCGCGATATAGAATTAAAACCCATTACTGGGCACAAATGTGTTAAAAGTAATAGTTTTAAGTGTCTGTATTTAATGTTGTCACCGTGCTGCTGTCATGTACACACGTTGTTTTTTTCACTAGAACAACAGCGAGGATGACTGGAGGAGAGCTGGCTCGATCTGGTCAGTGGCAGCAGGATACATTGAGGTGCAAAAGGGTCAAACACAAACACCTGCAGCGCGGATTATATTTACTTCTAAAAGGCTTACAGTAAGATTATGTATTAAATACATTTACAAATACGAAAACTAAGGAGTTTTTTGCAATTGTTTTAGTTAGTTTCAGTTAGTTTTGTATGTACACAATATAGTTTCAGTTAGCTCTAGTTTTTATTTTTATTTCAGTTAACGACAATTATTTAACATTTTAGTTTTCGTTTTTTCGTTCGTTTTTATTAACTATAATAACCTTGATGGAAAATGAAATAAATGTTCTTGGCTGGTGGATGAACAAACAATCCTACTCAAAACCTGCAAAATTAGCTAGATCAGTAGTGCATCCCGGCAAGTAGTGGCAGCAGTGAAAGGGTGTTTAGTGCTGCTGGACACACAATCAGTGAGCGCAGGACCGTGCTAAAGCTATCTACAGTGGATTCAAAAAATATATAACTAAGGCCCCGTTTACACTAGTGCGTTTTAGTTTGAAAACGCATAAGTTTTGCTACGGTTACGCCATCCGTCCACACTACGTCGGAGTTCTCGAGCGCCGAAAACGGAGCTTTTTGAAAACGCTGGAGAGGCCGTTTTCATTCTAAAACGCTGCTGCTCCGTCTCAGTGAGGATGGGGAAAGACGGAGACATCTGAAAACGGAGGCGGGGCTGCAAACGTTCGCCTATCTGATTGGGGCTTTTCCTCAATATTAAGTAGCCCACACACAGTTCAGTCTCGCATCCTCTTCTTGTAAGTTAAGACTTCGCAAGTTTGATCAAGGCTGCAGTCTCCCCCTTTTCAGTTTGATATGGAAAACATACCGAGGACACGGGTAAATCTTCAAGGGGAACAGTGTACTTTATAACTTCATTCACATCACCTTGGCTACGTTGTTTCACTTTCTCAACAATAAAATGTAAACATGATTTAAGGAACTGCCTATTTTCTTTTTAATATTAGCAACTTAACAGACAGCATAAATGTTGAGGCGTCGTGCTGCATATATGGGCGTCATCTTCACTGTGTGGATATTTATAACAAAACGGAGCCTATAACAACTGCCTCCTTTCAATTTCAGTGAAAATACGAAACGCACCCTCTCTTTTGCTGAATATCAGTTTTTATAATCGATAATTATAAAAGTATAACACACAATAAGTTTAAACATTGTAGGAAATACAGATGAGCGATCAATCAATGTACCTGGATTAATCATTAACTTATCTTTGCGCTTAACCAAAACATGTTACCCGTGAACAAGTAACTTAATAGATTCCAATGACCAAAGTCAGGGAATTGGCCTATGTCGTTAGATAAAGACAACAACATGAATGAAATATCACGTTTAGCAAATATAGTGAGATTAGATCCAGCGGGAGATGCGTGATGAGCAATCCGACAAGCAGAGCTCTCATCTGGGTAGAAATGCTGGAGCGCTTGCCCGAGAGTGTGTGTGTGGTCACGTGATGTGCGTTTTCAGCGTTTTGGTGTGGACGGAGAGCTGTTCAGAAACGCTGGGTAAAACGCGAGTGTGGACGCGAATCGTTTTCATTCTACAATGCCGTTTTAAAACTAAAACGCACTAGTGTAAACGGGGCCTAAATATTAATGAAATCATAAATGCACAATGTAGACAGAGTTTATGCACTAATGTTGGCATTATTCTTTTATTATTCAGCTTCACTGTTGCTTTAAGGCCGGATTGTAAAGAAAAGTGGCAAAACAAATCTTGCAGAGCCTTTATCTTAATTTCGTTATTGCCAAAAGCCAGTCATAATTTAGAATTTATGTTAATTTTATGTTATTTGTTAAGAAAGA